CAGGGCCGCTTTGCCTCCGTGCGTTGGAAGCAGAGTCTGCCTGAAACTCCCACTGCAGCTTGGCCAAAATACTGGGCCACCTCAAAAGCAACTCCTCATTACTCCAAGAAAAATCAAGATAGTCCATTGAGCAAAGCACATACCCCTCACATTCCACAAGTCAGCAAGCACAAGGGGACAAACCTTTTCTGCATCTCAGCTACTTGGTTTGGCTCCCAAACGGAACTGGTGGTGAAACATGCTGAAAGCCAAGTCTATGAAAGAGATTCTGCCATGTCACGTCCAGCAGCATCCCCACCAGCACGGCTGGGTGCCAGTGGAGCATTGGGCAATCGAAAGCGAACCGGGCTTGACAAGGGCTTGTTTGTCACCTTCACATTTTGCTCAAGGCGGCGCATCCACGCGCTTCGCAACCTCAAGCCTGAACTTTCGTGCTGGCAGCACCTCGGTGTAGTCTGTGTACATGCGGCCAGGCCTTCAGTAAAAAGCCTCTATATTATATCACCTCTCTCGATAGGGTAGCCGGTGGGTCATTAACAGAAAGCAAATGTTGACATCTTCAATGGTTGTCCGTCCTAGCCTAACATCCAAGATCTGTCTAATGCCCCGTTCGATGGATGGCACCACTGCATGATAACGGCACACTTCTGGGGAAGCAAAAGCTTTCACCTACTCACTTCTTCTCTGTCGGCCAGTGCCCGGACCGACCCAACACAAATGCATGCCAAGATTCTATCTGGAATCACCTTGGGATACTCCTCTTCTCCGAAAGTGGTTCTTCGAATGATATCAGCCAGAACGGTGTCATCTTTCATCACTCCAAAGTGGACATCGTAAGCCAATCTTGAAAACGCTGCTTCGGATGGCCGCTGAAATGGACCAGAAAGGACACGCACCTGGAAACAGCGAGCCAGTGGTCTGGCCGTTTGAGCACGCAAGCAAGCCTAGAACTATTGGAGAATGAGAAAAAATTCACCGCAAATATTGCTACATATTGTGCGTCTTCCTATGCCAGGTGTGCACAATTTCTTCAACCATGGCCTCGGCTGAATCAAAAAGTCGTTCCACTGCTGCTTCCCAGGTGAGAGTATATCTATCATCTGGTGACAGCGGCTTCGGATCACCTGCGCGGTCAAAGCCCAGACATGCCCCGAAGCATTTTTCAGATTGAATGAAAACCGGAACACCGGAAAGCAGTGTATGGCCACACAAGTCTGAAGTAATACAAAGGCACCAGCAGCTAGTGCTTCCTTCACAGCCGTGGTAAAGCTTGTGACGTCACCGATCTCAAAGAAGTGGCATCGGTCCTCTCAGCAAGTGTCCACTTTGGCACTTTGGTGAGGTTAAAGGCGTTAACCGTTGAAGTAGTAAAATATCACTATGACCGCAATATGACCGTCATGACTTGTGAAATCTCAAATCTTGACAAATCTTGTGGCGCCTTAAAGCGCTCGAAGAAGTTGTTCGACACATGCCGGGCAAGAACAATATGCTTGCCCATCGCCAGTGCTTCCACGGTCACGGTACAAAGAACATCAGAAGTCGAGGGGTTGATGAGAACTCCATATCCGTGGATTGGTGCATCAGCGTGGTCAATGCCAGGCTGTACTCGGAGCTGTGGCCCATCTTTACTCAAAGCCTCGATCTCCTTCAGGATCCCCTCATAGTCGGGACCTGACAATTGAGCACAGGAGTTTTTGGGCACGTGGAAGCCGCATCCATCTTCCGCCAAAACTTGCCCGACCCATTTGGTGGACCAAACTTCAGCACCTACCCTGGCCTGACCCAAAGCCATCCACAACGAGATCAGCAAGGCCTGACCCTGCCATTCTGAGCAAATCCAGGAGCTCTCTCCATCCCTTTGCGTAGAGGGCCTGCACCATGGTGAGAAAAGTGCAACATGTTAGTTCCACATGGCCTCGCAACTCATCACTGTGCAACTACTCATGGCACCTTGCCCAAGTAGTAGGCTTTGGCAGCACCTGGCTTCGGCTTGTGGCTCCTATCAAAGGTTTTGAGAATGCACTGACTGATGTACTGGATCTATCTGGATCTGTTGAAAAGACAACTTCTTTCCACACTGTCCTGTCTCCGATGTCGAGGAATTCAGACCGAACCCCATGCACGTTGCAGGTCACCTCGTTGGGCAAAGGCATGATCGTGTCCGACAGCTTCACATTCACATCGCAGTAGGCGCTGCACACCAACGTTGAGGCGGCAAAGACCGAGACTTCTTTGAACTCTGGCGGCAAACTACCACCAAGCCACTCACCACTGGGACCCATAGTACCAATAGGATCAGCTACATTCACATAGTCTGAGTAGTTAGTATGGACAATGCCAATGACATGTGTGAAGAGCTCGGGCCAGCGTTGCCCTGAATGAAACCAGCACAAGTGCTCTGGCTCCTCCAAGATCAACACGTCTTTGGGATCGGTCGGCAACAGGTTCTTGGTGCAATCGCCAGTGGGGAAGATGCTCTTGAGAGCAAGGATGTACTTGGCGGGGTACCAATGGAACTGCAAGTCCAATTTATCCAAGTCCATCTTGGCCCTTTCTTGGCACCACTGTCGAACCACCTTCTCTTGCTCTTCGGGGGTGTCGAAAGAAACTCCTTTTGCGAAGACATAGCTCTGATCGGCCTTCTCCAAGAAAGGGATGTAGAGGATCACTGGCCTACCACTCTTCGCCAGATACAAAGCTCGAAGCAGTGGATTCACGGCGGTGCCCGTCCGCCAAGGAAGAGCGGCCGTGGTGATGATGGTGAAGTGCCGATCGGGGCTGTGCAGATTGGAGGCCGGCGTGCAGGTCGGCACTGGGCCCAAGGAGAACAGGGGAGACTCGGCCTCTGCATCTAAGAGGGATCCACCCAGCTGCTGTACAATCCGTGCTGACTTGTGACTCCCAGGTTGCATTTGTCTCTGAGCTCGAGATTGCCTCACGATAGCCTCTCGCCGCTTGGTTGATTCGCGCAACTTGGAGTAAGCATTCAAGGACAAGATGGAGCCGATGAAGCCGCTAATCAACGAGAAAAGCTGCTGGAACGTCCAGGGCTCATCTTGCCTCGCACGTGCAAGCTTTGCATTCACATCCTGATGGACATCTGTCATATCTGTAACGTTTGGCTTCACATCATCAGCAGCCCGCAACATTGTCTGCATAGCTCGAGGTGGAAAAGACGCACTCTGAGAGCAGAGCGGACGCTCTAAACTGCCCCGCAGGGCGCCCAGTGCACAAGGTTTGGCGGCAGCAAACCCCATCTCGAAGCCCATGGCCGAATCGACGAAATTGGATCTTTTGATGACACGAATCATGCATTGCCATGCATCTGTTGTGTCGTTTCGGAACTAGTCAGTGTCATGAAGTACGAGCAAACAGAAGATGTAGGTGATTACCACTTGCAAATTCAAACCGGCTGAGAGTAGCAGCAAGTGCTAGTGTGCACCAACGTCAAACACGCCCCCCGCGTGTCATGCAAGAGCATCTACTTGTGCGCTGTCTGCAATGTGTGCACTCTCATTAACTCATTGACGGCCATTCTACAGAATGCAGGACGCTTGTGCCCAAAGGTCTCCCACAATCACTGGCTGTGCACAAACAGTTCACAAACATCCATTCTTGCTTGCCATCCGAGCGGCTGATCTGGCTGCTCCACCGGATACAAAGCACGCCGAAACTCCTGGCGATCAGCCAGGCCGGACCGGGTCGACCAAAACCGAGATCTAGAGCCTAGAGTCTAGAGAACAAAAACAGACCACATGGGCCATGTATGGGCCATGTATGGGTGTCCTTGCCCAGGCCATCACGGTCATAGAAATCGAAGAAATTGAGCACCTCTTCTTTCGCCTCCTCCTTGCAATAGCAGTCCATGCCAAAGACGTAGGGCCCATCCGAAGAGGCTCGCTTTCTCATCCATTCCACCAGCTCGTAGAAGGGTCGATTCTTCCACATCCAGTCCTCACAGTGCCGATGAGTACAAGTGCCATCAAACTACGTTCGACACGTGGGCGGTTTGCGCGGCGTAGACGGTCTAAATGAGTCACAGGACATCAAAGGACATATTAGAAAATGCTCTGCCACGAGACAGGAAAGCGGCTTGCATCCGGGAACATCTTGCTCTTTTTCCTTAGGCCAGATTCTCGGCCTTAAGGCTGACTCCAAGTACAGCCGCAGGAACATCTGAATGTGCGCTGAGTCACCGGTGGACGTATTGATTTACGTGCCACATGAATGTCCAGTCGCTTTCACAAAGGATGATGTTGAAACCTCTGTTTTGCATCAAATATTTGCTGATCCTTGGCTCAAGCATCATGTAGCAACCTTCCACATCTTACATTGCGACCCACATCAGTTGATAAAACTTCTGCTTAAGCTTCTCCGCACGCAAGTGGTAGAATTCCTCAGTCCCATGTGTACATTCCCCGAGCAGCACCGTAGTGGCCGTGTCAGGGATCTCGTTCCTTAAGCTTGAGCAAACTGCAGTTAGCATCAGTTATTTAGCTATCTTCTATTCCAAGGACAAATCAATGCAATGATCAATGCACGCCGCTTTGAATGTATGCCGCTGAATGTATCCTCTTAGAATGTAACAAACCCAAAGGTTCTCACCAAATGCTGCCCATGTCTGAGTGCTTGTGCTTCGAGAGTCTTTGCAAGCTCAGCCCCGTCTGTAAAGCAAGAGGGTCTGGCGTCATTATCCACTGGCATCCTGCAGTCCTGGGTCCACATCCGCTCTTAGTCACTGTGACAATCTATGACATATCTGTCCGCGTCTCAGTGTACAAATGCTGGAAGCAATGAGTGTAGGGGGGTGCCCTGCCTGCTGCCAGCGGGAGACAATAAAGGAAACATGGGGCTACTGCATGTCTGAGCCAAAGGTTGCACAGCTATCCTTCACACACAGCTGCATGTCGAGAAATAGGAACCGGAACCCCGCGACTTCGAAGTAAGCTTGTCTACTCAGTCATGCATACTCAAACCCTCCAACCTGAGCTCATCGCATTCCCTCTAGGCCTGAGAGGCGCCAAGCACTTCCATCAAAAATGGAAGGCTTCAGCACAAGTTGGCATAAGAAGCTGACACATCGATGTCCAAATGAACCATCTCACAGGGCCTGCACGGCGCATGGCGCGTGGCAGAGGCATGATCTCTGGTTCTCAAAGGTTTTGCAAGGACGACTCTGTCTGAGGTGACTGGCTCCAGGATCTGTCGCACTCTCTCTCCACTATCAAGCCTCACTCTGGCCAAAGAATGACAGGATTGTCCTTGTGGTTCTACGACACGGCCGGGGCACCCAGACTCAGCTGCGAAACCTGCAGCTGGAAGCTGCTGGCGGTAGCTTGCAGCCACGCAGAAGTAGCCAATAAGAAGGTAGCCTTCAAAGCCCACGTCGGTGGTTGCTGGCTCTGAACCACTACTAGCCAGACTGCGCCAGGAAAGCAGTGTTAAAACGTTGAATGGACTAGCCATGCCTTTCATCGCTATTGTATGGAAGCGCTTGATTGCCCTGCACAGGTCATCAAAACAACCAAGCCCCAACACAAAGGACTTGCGTAGAACGCTCTGTGCGCTAGCTGGTGTGCAGTCATGCACTCCCTCAAATCGAAAACCAACTGTTTGTAGTGGAAAGCCATCTACTTAAACTGAATTATAAGACATCTTCCGCAATGAGTTTGTTTCACATTGGCTGTGAGCGTCAGTGAACTGGGATTTCCCGTCCTTCTATCCCACACTCAGAGGCAGTTGCAGAGACATTACAAACTTGCGCTCATGTTAACAATCAAACCACACCACCAACCCTCACGTTGCCTTTTCGGACTATTCCACCATCTGTCATGGAATGGGACTTCTCGGTCAGTCGGTCAGACGTGCAATTCAAAACAAAGTCCACAAGCTCAAACCAAAAAAGGCCGACTAAAAAGGACTACTATACTGCCATGCTTGCTATAGCTTCGGCAATCCAAACTGAAAAAGAAAGACATGCTGCAAATACAGGCGCAGCAACTGCGCATAACAAAAATACCTAGGCATTTCAGTAGCGGCGCGCGGATACTATGCGGAGGGACATGTCATTCAACTTCAATCGTCACGACGCCTGTTGTCAAACTACAGCGGAACTTGGCAGCCCAAGAGGTATCGAGCCATGCGGCTGAAGATTCAATGCACTTGCCCTGCCTTGCCCTGCCTTGCTTGGTGCCAAGTAAAGGGAAACTGCTACAGTAATACCATGGCTTTGGTCGTACCTCAATGCTAATAGCTAGACTTCAAAGGGAGGCCGAAAATGGCCCTGCCGAAGTGACCATGGCTGTGATGATGGGTTCACAAAGCAACTTGATCTAGCTGGATCTAGCTGCTACTAGCTCAAGAGAGCGCTTGAGCATGCTTGAGCTCTCGGGATAAGCCCTAAATCGCAACTTCTTTCCTCCAAAAACATGATTTTGTTCTTGTTCCGCCAACTCCACGATGCTTCATGCCGTTCGGCATATGCATGACGCTGAACATCATCCAAGCTTTGCGGACGAGGGCTAAGGCATTGCGAGAAATGCCTTTGCGGACATGGTCAATCCAGGTAAGCGGCACAAAGAATTTCTCTGCATGCTTTTTGTGGAAACAATGCTGACGTCATAGAACTCCAAGGCTGGCTGAGTTTAGAATTTCAAAACGGTGGAGTGCCTGCCCGCTGCGCCAGAGATGCAAAAGGGACTGCCGCTGTTAGTGCCACATGGTGGTGAACAGTCAGTCAGTCAACCTGAAATCATTTACACCCCGGAGACTGAGATAAACCCCGGAGACTGAGTCGCCACAGACTATTGCTAACCTATAATCACCGGTTCATATCAGTCGAGGGGCACTGGCTGTGCTTGCTGCAGCTCGCTCTGCACGTTCGCTCTATTTCTGTTTCATCAACGACCGGGTCTGTGCCGAAAGGAACCTTCGCGAACGGTCCTCGGACCCAGAACTGGATGCCCACGGAATGCGTCTGTCAAAGGCAGGTACGGCCAGCCCAGCCAAAAAGTAAACCATCTGCAGCCATGCATCTGCCAAATCATCCATCTGTGACGCCTTAGCTCAAGGACAAGCACAAGAAGCGCAAGGCCAATCAACTCAACAGGACCAGCGTAATCGAAGCCGCCATGTTCGTTCATAACCCGGGCGCATGCGCACGGTCACAAAATCGATGCTGATACGATATGCCCAGTCAATTTTCTGTGACGATTTTGGTGCACATTCCGGAGGCATGTTCTTCATCATCTGTGACGGTACGAATGGCCTTCGGTGTAAAAATGCTATCCCACATGGCTGCACACTGATTGCCCTAGGCGAGCTGCTGACTAATTGATGTTCGATTGTTGCACTTCACTTGCCTAATTCCCGTATGGTGCTTCGGCCACAGGAATGACTCATTCGGAATCACACCGCCTTCAAGTACTGGTCAGCTTGTGAAGTAAACCCCGCCACACCAGTTGTCAATGTTCAGCTACTCATTCTGATCACGGCGCGTGCCCCTGGACATAGGGAAGTAGTTAAGTCGTGATCGTAGATGAAGTGTGAGATGTTTGTCCATTGACGATCCAGAAGTGAAACCCGGCCTATGGGCTAGGCAGTTGTGACAAACTTGCAGCTTGGGCACTTCCAACCCTAGGTCAGTCACAATCTTGCCTGGCACGCGGTGAGGGCACAAAACCAATGAATGAAGAAAGCAAAGGAAGTCTTTCCAGCATGGCCTTCAGAACATAGAGCCTCAATCCTCCCAACGTAGACGATTCCGAACATAAATAGAAACCTTGATGCAACCAATGATGCAAGAAAAAGAAAAAGCATCGACCCTTCTTATTCCAGAAGCCGAGGCACTCATATGTACTGCCACCAGCTTCAACTGCTAAATCAACAAACTTTGCCTGATCGGGACAGCATCTGAAACGCCCAAGGCCGCCCAAGGTGCCAAAGCGACTGTGACTACACGAAGACTGTCATGCCCAGAACAATATAAGATCAAGTGGCACTGTCCAAGCACATCAGGACGGACGTGGAGGTTGTCCAGAACTGTCCACCTTGGACCATCTCTCTGTCTCAGCCCGCAGGGAGCATCAAGATGCATCGAGCATCTCAGCTGGAGCCAAGCAGCGATGAAACCACTGTGCCCAAAGCCTCAGCTGTGATCCACTTCAAGCTGACTGCGATCAAGCTGAATCGGCAAAGAATCCACCTGAAGTCTGCAATCAAGCTTCACCGGCTCACATAGCCAGGTGCCTGGAAGCACCTTCATAGCTGAGCCAATTATCCTGCATGTCAAGTACAAACAACTGTGCACATGTGAATTTGCATGTTTTAAAGCAACAGGTTTTTCAGTGCCCATTATAAAAACCATGTCATGTAGAACGAAGCTCTCCTCTTCTGCAGTGTGCCCTGTGACTCGGCCTCGACCCGGCTGCCCCCACCCATGCCGGAAATGCTCCGAAATCCAAATCCGTCCCAGCGGCGAAGCTCAGGGTGCCGGAGGCCACGAAGAACGCCAAAGATGCCATCTGATCCGGCAGAAAGACGTCCTGACTTCTGGAAACATCACAAACCTGCACGTTCCTATACGTTCCTTCTCATCCTGTTCCCGTGCAGCTCATGTTCCATGCCAATTGGTGTTCCATGAGTGTTCCATGTTTTTGTCCATGGCTTCTTTTTCTGCGCACTTTGCTCGCCACATTCAGGGGAAGAGAAAGAACGGATCATCCCTGGTTTTTCCACGGTCCTTTCCAGGTGTCTCCACCTGCTCGCGCATGGTATGGCAGACCTGGCACCGGTTAATTAATGTCGGTTTTACGTATATAAAGTCAATAGGACTTGGCAGCACTGTTCACTCCCTTCTGTGGGGGGGGGGGAGAAGAAGGGGAGGAAAAATGCATGTACCCAGCGAGTCCTTGTACAAGAAGCCGGTCGTCAGGATATCAGTTTGAACCCATCCCGGGCTGTCGAAAGCCTCAGGTGCGCTGCATCAAGACAAACTGGGGTTAGAAGAAGAAGAAGAAGATTGGGCATTTCATGAGCACATCAAACAAGAGCACGGCGGGCATGAAGACTTCTTCTGAGAGTCGAAGCTTCAGTGACCTGAAACCAAAATGCTTAAAAACACCACGTGGTACAGTAATCTAAAATCATCACCCTGACCAAAAGGTGGTTGATGCGTGCCCAAACACTCTGGGCACTCGCGGAAGAGCCGGATGTCTGACCTCACAATCACAAGCTCAAGGGTGGGTGTTGGGGCGTGGACAAGAACAATCCGCTCAAATCATAGTTGACAAAACATCTCCTAAGGGCACAGCATTTTGGTAGTGACATCTGCAACTGCCTCTTTTCCTTGCATCCAAAACAGGTTGAGCGCTCGCATTGGAGGACACTAAACACATACAAGAAGCAAAGAAAGCAAATTTACACAGCTGTGCCCCTAGACCACAAGTAATCCCCACAGCATGTCCTTTCTGGCTTTCTCTTTGGTGCTCCCGCATATCATCGAAGAGCTCTGCCGAGAGTTTCCTCTCCTCGAAGAAGGCCACCACGGCTTGCTCCTGCTTCATCTTTTCCGCCTGCACCTCAGGGCTTCAGGTGCCCCAGGTGAACACCACTTGGTGCAGCGGAAATCGAAGTTGAATCAAAGACACCAACATGTTTTGAGGATCCATAAGGTGCAGTGGTGGAACGTGGTGCATTTACGGCTGTTGGTTCAAAACCGCTCAAGCATGCCAAAGCTGCTGCGCGGAAGGATCCCACAGCAGCAGTAATCGAGCCCACCAGGGATGAGAACAAGCACACGGCCACAAGGACCTAGGAGGCAGCCAAGCTCAGAAACCATGGATCCACCGTGATCCACCCATCTCCTGGTGCAAAAGCATCTCCTCTTCTGGCCCAAGCGGTAGGAGGTGAGGGATCAATAAAAATACCAATAGCATCAATAAAAATGCTCGATGGTGATCAAAAAGGAAAAGTATATATATATATACAAAGGATCAATCAACTTTCCCAGTGAAACGGTTTATGGATGGTTCGAGAGTCGTGGATTATGGATGGTGGGCTTTTCAATAGTTTTGGTAAAGGGAGAGAACGAACAAAGAAAAACAAAAGAGAACGAACGGATAGAAATGTTGGGCCAGCAAAGGTGGTCCCTATCATCCACCAAAGGACAATGAAAGGATGGTTGCAACACTTAACCGATGAGACTTAGACGAGGGCATGCAGTATTTGGTGTGGAGATGCGATGGGTGACCTTTAAAAACTGTGTTCTTGTGGCAGGCTCAATGCATTGTCAAAAGTTGTGCAAATTTCGTGGCGCTGAAGGGCAGTTGAGGTGGAGGGCGCAGCGGCTCTCCCCGGTGTCAAAAGCCACCAGACTCCGAAGGCGCCAGAAAATAGATCATCATCGACCAGTGGGAGAGCACGGCACCCTCTTCCATAATAGCAAGAAAAATGAGCTCTGTGTTTCGCAGAGTTCACGCCAAATTCAGAAAAGTTGATGAGTTTCGCAAAATCTCGCGCTTTTTGACCAATGGACCATGAGGCCAGCAGAGCAGGAAAAGGACCAGGGGACCAATGAACTAGGAGACCTACTTTTATTTTTTTAAGCAGTGTTGATCCTGATATCATGTTATATATACATATTGTTTTGTTGTTGATCCTGTCTGTATATTGTGATCTATATAGATGGTTAGATGCCCGAAGAGGAAAAAGGAAGGCTGAGCTCCACGCTGTCATGATAGCAAACAATCGTTCCCACACATTGTCTGGACCTCTGGTGACGTGGCGCGCTTCTGTTCTTCGCGAATTGCACATGTTTCAACTTGGGCTGTTTGTCAGGTGCCAAACCAATGTTGTTGGTGGCTGGCATGAACTGGGTCAGACTCCAATGCATCGCGCTGATGTACACCTCAGACCAAAAGAGACCGGAATTTGTCACAAAGATACTCCAACAACTCAACGTATCTTAAACATGTCCAGATGCGATCTCTAAGGTTCTTTGGGGCGGGCGAGGCATCTGAGGCTGGCTCTTCTGCAAATGGAAAACCCTCAAGATCAGACAGCAGAATCCAGTTTCGATCGGGGTGGCCTCGGCACAGCAGTTGCACTTGCCGATGCAGTTGCAACTGCGGCTTCATGATTCTGCCAACATGCCTTCCAGTCCAACGTAGTACCAGCCGCAAGCAATGAAGTGGTTGATCAATCTGTAGGAACGAGGGCACGAAGGTTGTCAGAAGGTTCTGAACATCAAACAAATCTATGCAACATCCTAGAAAACCTTGTATCTCCAAGTGCTATCCAAGGCTCAGAACTGTTGCCAAGGCAGACGATAACTTCAGCAGCAGAACAGAGTACGGGTTGCGTAATCCTCGCTGAGACTATGTGCGAATCCCCTGCAATTCACCCAAGCCTGTGCCATTTTTGGAAAGGGCTGGATACCCGTGACAAAGGAGCAGTCACGACTCCAGCAATTGCGCAATCGCCTTCCCTACAGACCTCCTCTACAACATAATGACCTTCAAAGAGGCCCGCTTGTTGCACCCAAGTTGCGCTTCTCACATGCCTAGGACACAAACTTCTGACGGTAAAAACATTATGTCTAAATGATTCTGAATGTCAATGCACCGAGTCACTTTGAGAATGGCCCTGAGCTTGCCAACGCGGAGCAACCTTGCAGGCAACTATGCCAGCCACAATTTACATCAATGCCTGATGCTACGGCATGATGCTGGATGGCAACCTGACCCTTGCTCAGCCCAAAGTTGTTCAACACCTGTGGTCCATGTTCTCCAGTTCTACTTGCTCCAGCCTCAGCAATCTCAATAGTCTCCTGCGAAGCCAGAAACCAAAAGTGTCGGACACGACATCCAAGCTGCATCTTTTGACAAAGGCTGCTGCATCCAAGCGACAAAGATCGGATGATCCGGGTCGTTCTCAATGCGCCGGCTTCTGATCCAAGTGAGGCATCCAAGGCGAACATTACCACATCAATCCTTAGCGGCGCTGGCTCTCCAAGTACAACAACATTCTCAAGCCAAGGTGGCCTGAGAAGAAGGAAAACGTCTCTAAGTGTCTCCAACGAATTCTGCGCCAAGACTCGACAGGATAAAGACATCCTGGAAGCATCGTGCAAAGTGGAACAGACTGGCGCTGACTGACTCAGGTTGACCCCAAAACCAAGGCCAGGCAAGCTGCAATCGGAAACATCGTTTTCAAGTACTTTCTCGCAATGACAATCGGGCGCATCTCGATCCGGCCATTCCTTAACAAGGAGTTCGAGTGTGCTTGGCTCTGGCCACACTGTCACAGGAGGTGTATATAAATGTTGGATGAGAATCCGGTCAAAGCCGCTCAAGAAGGACACGAAAACATCACATAGCCAAAAGAGCCAGCTCACCAATTGCTGAACCTACCAGGGCACACAAACGCGGCCACACATTCTCCGCACAAGCGCGGTCTCATTTGGCGCCTTGAAGAAGGGATGGTCACCAATATCGAAGATGGATAAGGGTATCCTAGCTGGCAAGAAGCCCAAACGGCAACGTGTGGCATCAGTGAATCAGGGTGATGAACATCTGCAGCTCAGGGTCTACAAAAATGAAGAACATGCCGAGGATGAGCCACCCCAAGCGCAAGTTACCTCAAAAACTACCCAGGAAACAAGAACTAAGCCAACTGAACCCCGGATCGTTTCAGTCCATGGCTTGCTGGAGAAAGTATCATCTTCTGCCACCTCAAAGGGAGTTGCAAAACAAGATTGAAATGCCAAAAGATTTCAGAAAAAGTGATTGGATGTCATGAAGCTTGTGCTGCCAAAAAGCCGCTCGTGGTAGTCGTCAGTAATTTCAGCACCTCATGTTACACTTCCGGCAAGCCGATTTGGGACGAGCCGAACCGTTGAGACGAGGCTCCAAGGTGGTGTTTGACGCTTGACCTGGGCACCTCGTGAGGAGAACGACGAGAACAATGCAAAAACTCCAGGAAGGCATCGGAAGGCCTCTGCAGGGGCAACAATTGACGCCCTGCTCTTCTTCGCGGTGGAAAGGGATGTTCGCCAGGCACCTTACAATGTGGCGTCTTCGTACTTTTTGTGCTAAATGCAGCACACGGCTGTTCAATGTTGCCCCTCCTCTTCTTGAACTGTCACTCATCCGGCAACACCGTGTTGCAGCTGTCCGCCTAAACTATATATATTGCGCAGCGTATTTGATTCAGCCAAAGTACCATGCATTCCTGAGTTGTGAAGCTGGAAAGGCCACAGGAATGCATCATGGATGCTGCGAGGATGCTTTACACTGCGGAAGCTCGCGCAACTCAATGGAACAAAATGGTCACTCCGTCCATCCAAAACTAAACAGCATGACGGCATGCGATGTCACCCTTCAACCTGCGCACAAAACCTCGAAATCCTGATGTCTGTCGGGTGCAGTGTGCCTCTTGCACCTCTGCAATTGTACCTTTTCGGGAGGCTCTCTTCTTATTCCACACAATCCTCGTCGCCAAGCAACTCATTGAAAAGAATTCATCCAGCATCCTTGCCTGAACACAGGAGCGAAAATGAGAAAGGACTGAGATCAGGCCTGACTTTCTCAACCAGCCTCTTCTAATCGCGCTTCATTCAAGAGTGCTTGCTCAACTAGACTAGCCTAAGGCCCAAGTGCACAAAGCCAAGAAATCGGATGAAAAGAAAGGTTTCGTTGCAACAGGAACCAGAGCTGAAACCTTTATGCTGCCCAGTCTCCCACCGGTGACCTGGACGAAAGACCAAAGCTTGGCACGCACCATCAGTGTCAGAACTGGTCAATCCTGGGCTCGAAAGCATGTTGCTACAAGCCTCATGCAACGCTTGCCGTCGTAATTGCCGAGATCATTGATCGCGTGGTTTTTGTTTCTGTGCCTGCAATCATTCTCTTGCAAGGGCATTGCATGCGCGTGTCCATCTTCAACAGTGGTAAGCTCTTCTCCCGTGCAAAGAAAAGAGATTCATGCAGTGCGAGGCATGCATTTGGGAGGAAAACAACTCCGGCCGCCGGCCTCACGCACGGGGGTGGTTGCAGCCAAGTCACCCGATTGCGCGGCCAGCTGATTTTGGGGCACACTTCCAGATTCCTGGCAAAGTGCACTGATGAGCGATGTGGCAATTGAAAGAACCGGCCTGTCTGGCAAATTCACCTCAGAAATCACTTCTGATCTCCGATGTCAAGAAGTCAAGGACCAGTCACTAGTCTTCGCTAGGGACTTGGCAATCTATGCTGAGCAGTCTTCCGAGTAAGGACAGGACATAATGCTTCACGTTCAGCTGGTACAAAGTCCACAGGCTGAAGCTGCTGGCATTTTAGCAGGAGCCTTGAGGATGCAAAGAATGCTCCACGAAGCTCCAAAATTGCCGCACTCTGAGCTTCGGGCTGCTTGTATTCGTGATTCTGAGCATCCTTTGCAGAGAGGGTGTGGGGTTGCTGTCGATCAAAACTGTCACTTGGGGATGCGAAGAACACCCCCCACACACTCATTGCAGAAGAGGTTCCACTTTGGCCCGGAGAACCGCATTCTGCTCACGCAGAATGTCTAAGGCAATTTCGTGCTCATGAGCAAGGCTTTGTTTCAAGGTCTCAACCTCAAGCAGGTCAATGCAGGTCAGCTGGGCTTAAGAGAATTGACTTCTCAGTTGGTTTTTGTCCCACGGTAACACCACTCAGACATGGTGAACACCTGGATTTGTAGCACATACATGGTGAACACCTGGATTTGTAGCACATATAGACACACACATACATATATATATATAGATATAGATACAAATGTAGACACATGTGTGTGTCGTGTATGTGCTCAGACGCAACTAGACGCATGGAGAAAGTGCCTGCGTGGCCAAGGCTTCGTGGAAAGGCGCCATCCTTTGGCCAAATTGGCGATTTTGGGCCACAGCTGAGGCGCCGTCAGTGATTCCAGTGCATCCCAGGGCCGTGATGCCCAGTTTCCAAGCCGGTTCAAGAGCGACAACTGGGGGCGTGATGAAGGCACAATGGCCGAAAACGGATGGGTTTTCCCAACGGAAGGCTTCTCCGATCTGCTCAGAAACCGCAGCCAGCTGCCGTAGTTGTTTTTCTGACCGCAAGAATAACAAGAACCATTCCATCTCCCAAAACATGTTTTGGCAAAGAGGTGTAGTTCGATCTCAGGCGGACTTGATGAGGTGGTGTGAAATATCCCAGTGGACCATCTTGGAAAAAACCATGTTTCCGTGTCCCAAACACATGAGCTCTTCGGGGGTCCCACCCATCCATCCCACGTCAGCAAATCCCAACGAACCATATTCAGCATCTGCGCTCCACGACGAACATCAATCATCCCATGACTCGCCGTCTGCATCTTCATCAATCCTACCGTCCTACCCCACACCACACCACGCCATAGTTCCCAAAGCAAATTGTATACTGTATAATTCAGAAATTCACGAACCAGCCGCGCCAGCATCACAGAAAACACACCAAAAAAATAACAGCTACAAAACTGACTGAAAACTGGAAAACGTCAAGAACGCTACAAATGCACCAGGCAACCTATCAAAACCCAGAAACTACAAGGCAGGCGAACCCCAAGGGCGAACATAGGCCTGAAACCAGCGTGCCTTCCTTTTCCTTTCGAAGCTGGATGAAGAATTTGGACTTAAAGCAGCAAGACCCGCCATGAAGAGTGAAACAAGCACCGGCGTGCCGTCTTCCGAAACAAAACGATACTGGACATCTAGATTCTAGATTCTGAGAAACAGTTTCCAAGCGCCAATCATGACCGACAGCCGACAGCTGTTACCTTTGTGGTCACGTCCCCAGCTACCAACATCGGGGGCAGCCAAAGCAAAGGCATCTCAAGCAAAACAAAGGCTCCGGCTTCTTCCCGTGGCAAAGATACGAGTGGACTCAGTGAGAAACGCACCGCTGAGAAGATGTCTTCCTGTCTTTGCTGATTACAGTAAATCTGCAGTGATGCTGTCTCTTAGTCATCACTACATAGACATAGTCCAAAGCCGTGGGGTACTATGCTGGACGTATGAGGCGGTCCGGTTTGAGCCTCACGAATTCTTAAAGAAAATATAACCGGAAGAACCATGCAACGAACCAAGTATTAAGATGCGGCAGATTGGCACGGGTTGAATGGTACAAGCAACCGTCGGTGTTCCAGAACTTTCTCAGTGTCATGGGCACATGGAGCTTGATATCATTCGCCTCTAGCTCATTAGTCACGTGCCAAGATAGAGAAATTCAGAGAAACACCAAGCTCTAGGAACCCTCTGTCCAAGCAGTTGATACTCTGGAGTCTGCAAACGAAGCAATCTAAAACTTCACCGACCCTGCGACGGAGGGTCGTTGAGGGTTGTCATGAGTGACAGGTCCTAGGGCTTCACTGGCTTCTCCAACAATAGCTAATTGTCCGCAATTTCTGGGCCGCAGATTAAAAAATGTTGAGCACAATGATTTCTACTCCGAGGAGCAGATGTGTTGATGACAGCATCTACGCACTCACCACCCCCAGGCCTGTGCGCTTTCAGAACTACGAATTCAAGTTTAAATCACTTGTGACCCAAAAAAAGCATTAACTTAACATGAACTTCATTATATAATTGCTTCACTTGCAACTTCTATTTTCGGTCTTCGCCCTGGAAGGTGAGCTCGCAAGGCTAGGCACGGTCGCCGCCTCTCTGAGCCCCATTTTTCAAACAATTCTGGGCTCAGCTCTTCGACAACCGTGAGCCACCGTGAGCCGAGATCAACGAAGCTTGAAATGCACTTCTCGCGCAAGTCTGTAGGTCCTAGTTCTTTCTTGTGACCAGGTCCTGCAAATTCACTCGTCGACTGGAGCCGAGTCAAATGGGCAGATTCTTCCCCTGAAGCCAGTGTAGTGCCACCTGCAGCCAACCACCGGAACCCAAAAGGCAATTACAACGAGAAAGGTCAAGAAAACAATCTTGCAGAACAAAATGGAGAATCTGTTGGTCTTAAGCTCGGCATCTTTTGGTCTGAAGCCTGTGTTTGAGAGTTTTATCGGCGCACACCAGACAGACCCATTTGCCGTTATCCTCCCTCTTCACTCTTCGTTGGAACAACTCAATGGCCGCGAATGCCGGCCTAGCCCAAGGACTCACGAAGCCTGCCCAAACAATTTGGAGGACGGGGAAGGTGTAGAACGAATCTGAAGGAAACATTGAGAAAAAATATTGGCAAAAGTCTACGCACGGGAAACTAATGCAAACCACAGCCTTTGCCCGCCCGCTGCCTCTCCAAAGCATCACTTAGCTGAGCATCACGCTTGCTGACTAGGCCTCGTGGCAAATGTGCCGGGGTTCGCCATGGCACAAGGCCAACCACCGAAGCACAGCGGTGGGTGCAAAAGGTTTCATCAGCGCTCCTCTGATCAATTCACGATTTGCCTTCTCAGATTGGACGACTGGAAGCTTCAGACGCATACAGGGCAAGGAAGGACGCCAAACTGAGGTTAAAGGGAGGGGCAAGAACAATTGAGCGATGTAGAAAGTAGACCACGTTCAGGCTTTCACATCTTATTTCATTCTATCAAAAAGCACGCGGGGCTGAGCTGGTAGCAACCTCGTGTTGCAAAGGAAGAGCCCAATGAATGCCGCCTAGAAACGTATCATGCACCCAAAGCTGAACTTCTGCAAGGGCTTCAGCAACCTCCTATCCTGGGCTAGGCAAGTGGGGAAGCACAGA